AAGATATCAAGCAATCAAAGACTGTTGCTTATGCACAAACCACGTTTGAGAATGAATTATCAATTCTATGGAAAATTCTACTATGGTCCACTTTATTTGGACCATCACTATATTGAATTATCATTGGTCGATTTTTTATTTATTTTTTTACCTTGGTCAAACCTTATTTTTAGTTATTTCCTTTTTTAATTCTTTTTTTATTTTTCAAAATTTAATTACTGAATTTACGAAAAATCATTTTAATTACATTTTCGAAATTTAATTATTAAAATCAGATTTTAATTAAATCAAAAAAACGATTAAATTAAAAAAAATCAAATAAAAAAATTGTTCATAAATGTTCTTCATAGTTCATCAATGTTCTTCAAGTTTTTTCATTCATGGATGAGATTAAACACAAACACATGATCTATGTCCATTAAATTCACTTGCGCATCGAAAGCGAATAACAATATGGATCGATTCAAAAAGCAAATGCGAAATTTTAAGATATCAAAAAGTTGTAGTCGTTGCGAATTTGGGCAGCGATTTAAATCTCTAAATAATAGGTTTGGATTGTACTAAATCAGTCAACGTTTGCAAAAACGGTGATTTTATATAATCGAAATAACAATTTTTAAGTTTTACGATAATCGGGGTTTGTCATGAACATCTGAAAAAGAAATCGCATCATTATTTTTTTGAAACCTTGTTTGATCCAAAAAAAGGGAAATCGAAATTGAAATCTTGTTTGTGTAAAATGTTTTACCCAAATAAAGGATAGGACATTACCTGTGATGAAAATTGAAATTATTAAAAACATATGATGACATCAAGTTCTTTTGGACATTACCATTACTGATTTATAATTCATTAATATCTTGTTATTTTCTTAATTCGGTAATCTACTTTCTTCAAGATAATCTAATTAGAAAATGTATGATTTTTCTTCGAAACACTGTTTGATCCAAAAAAAAAGGAGACCGAATTCTAAATCATATTTGTGTTTAAGGAATTTACCCACATACGGATTGAACATTACCTATTATATACATTTGAAATATTAAACGACTATGATCCTACGTTATGTTAGAAATAACCAATTATTTTAAAGTACTTTACGACCTTTGCAAAATATTTGTAGCAAACATGTACAAAAATTAAAATAAATCTATTTTAATGATTATATATATATATAAATAAATATAATGGAATCAATATCTTTTAGGATATCTTCTAACATTAGAAATATTATTTAAAAAAATTTCAATCACCAATTATAATAAGGATATTTTCCTAATTTCTTATCTTATTATTATTGTATAGAAGATTTTAAAATCTGTATACTTTTCAAATTTCAAAAGATTATATTCTAATATAATCTAAATATTAGAATATATATCTTATTGATTTTGTCGACATATCTTATGATTTTGTAAAATTATTGATTTTTATCACGCCTAGAATTATAGTAATATATATTTTTAATAATGCAATAAACCTAGAATGTTTGATAAACAATCGTGTAAAAATGAATTTTAAAAAGGATAAAATTTAGTAAATGGAATATTAATAAATCTTAGGATAATAGATGATTTACTTTCCCTCAAATTTTAGATTTTCCTGAGATTTTGTTATTTCTTCATGCAATTTGGTTAATAGAATCTTAACAAAATCTTAGGATAAAAATTTACGTACTTTCCCTAAAAAAAGATAAAATTTGGACAATACCATAATTTAATTAAGGTTTATAATTTTGAATCTATCTTTTTTTTTTCAAGGAAACACTTTAAGTCTTTTTTTTCTAAAATAAGATCATATTTTCTGATTTTTTTTTACATGCTTATCGTAAAATAAAATCAAAATATTGGTTTCCCTCATCTCCACGTTAATAAAAATCATAAAGTTGGAATTTTCACAATATCATAGTCATTCGTCAAACTCAATAAACTTTCTTTTTTAGGTAATAACCAAAATACACATAAGTTAAAACCTGAACTATAAACAGATCACAAAACTCACACTTGTGTTCTACATATCAAACAAGGTTTATGAGAAGAATATTTTTTTTAAAAATTGTGTCTTCTTCCTCTAATCGATTTGCTCATTATATATCTTTGTATCCTAAAATTGCGTCTTCTTCCTTTGACCAATTTGCTCATTATATAGGTTTGGACATTAATTTTTGTTTTTTGGTTTGTGTAATAATTTGAAATTTAAACCATCTTTCTATAAGGTAAAAAAAATCATATATTTAAAGTAACCAATCAAAATTGAAATTTAGATTAACAATGGAATGTATTAGATTTAAGATCTATTTGAAGAATATTGCCTATATGATGGTTGTTGATTGCTTATTTTTAGGAAATATTGTTACTAAATGAAACATAAGTTATCCCATATAAATTATCGTCCAAATCTTTTTCAAATATTCTATTATAATATTTAACGTACTATTTAGGAAATAAATCAATGATATACAATAGTGTTGTTATCAATAAATTTTTATGACACATAAAATATAGACTATAAATTAAAAATTAAACTAAACTAATAAAAAAAAGATACTCGCGGAGTCGTAGTACTAAACATTGGGTAAAAAACAAAATACAAAAAATCACATTTAACATGTAACGCTATTTTGACAAATAGGAAAAAGAATATTTTCCATTATCATTAATAAAACTAGAATACATGTATATACAAAACAGAAGCATGATATGTCCTAATTATAAGGAAACAACTAGCAATAGTAGTATGTATTTAGCCTAAATATAAGGGGTTGAATATTGGCTTTCCTAATTTATAAATACAAAAATATATTTACTATATTTAACAATTTGTCATTGTATTCTTTCCAAAAAAAAAAGAAAGGTTTGCCATGTAATTGCTCACCTCCACATTCTTTTTTCATTTGGTTATTATATGGGATTCGTCCAATATTAGGATATGACATTATTTATATATTTAGAATTGGTCTCAATCTCCTTAATTATTGTAAAATTATAATAATAATCGAAGACGGTTCATTATTTAAATTAATAACAAACTAGTATCCAAGTAATCCAACCATTGGGTCACACGATAGATAAGAAGATAATCATCTAATTTGACTATTAGGTTGCCATTAGAATATCTCTAAAGGTGGTTTGATTGAGAGTTAAAATTTTGAGGAATATGCATACAGAAATCAAACCACAATAGCTGATATATAAGTGATCATTGATACCAAACTTGGTATATGTAAATTGTGACTTGGCTAGTGAATGAGGATTGAGGACCACGATCCTATTTGCTATCAATTAAGAAAAATATTAGGATACTAATGCATGCACAGTATGAACTAGTTATTAACAATGTCCAAAATAATGTATGGTCGTAGACCAAATAAACAATAATATTGCGTTTTATAGGTAATGTCCTATTAGCATTTGGGTTAATACCTTATATGCAAACAGAATCGAAAACTATATCTTTTTTTTTCGGATCAAACAAGTATTCCAAAACAAAAATCGTTGTCTTCTCCAATTAGTTCACAAACCCAGATTTTGAAAAATTGTTATTTTTTTTTTTTCGCATACATATAATGACCGATTTTTCATCCCTTGTTTGCGATTATCCAATTAACACTTATTGTTTTAGGATTAAATACAATCCCAGATTCATACATGAATCCAAATTTCGAATGAACTCTTCACATATAATATGTAAATCGATGCATATTTTCAATTTTCATTGATGTGCGAGTGTATTTACGGGACAAACTAAAGATTACCATAATGGTGGTTAATCTCATCCATGAATAAACAAACTTGAAGAACAATGATGAATAATGAAGAACATTGATGAACAATTTTTTAGTTTGATTATTTTAATTTAATATTATTTTTTTATTTAATTAAAAACTGATTTTAATGAATAAATTTTGAAAATCATAAAATAATTTTCAGAAATTCAATAATTATATTTTGGAAAATAAAAATTGAATTAAAAAAGGAAAATACTAAAAATAGTGTTTGACCAAGGTTAAAAAAAAATTAAAAATTCGACCAATGATAATTAAGTATAGTGATGGTCCAAATAAAGTGGACCATAGTAGAAACATCCCAATTATATACATTAATTAATTAATTACTACTAAAGCGTAACAAGCTAGCACGGCGCGGCTTAACATATTAGAAAAATTTGCGTTTTAAAATCATGAATTTGTAGATCCAATACTTTATTTAGAGACAATTTTTGGGATTTTATTTTTAACCTTTCCCCCCTACTTCTGAGAGAACTTATTGTTGGCTGATTCGAATTAAATTAATTGAGAGTAAATGTGCTTCTTTCTCAGTGTATGTTACGGAGTATTATACTACAAAAAGATCCTTGCATGAATCACTACTTAAAACAAGAGCACGCTATTAATTGGTTAATAGTTCTACAAGATTAATCAAAACTAACTATGCAACTAACTCAAATATGAAATACTTAGTAAACATTAGGAATAGGTAAAACCGTAAACTACACTGTATGAAATCAGTTCAATCATCATCAGAAACAAGCTAATTTGGCATTATAAAAGTAAAAAATCACTATATAATTGCTACTTTGTACGAAGTATATGACATGGAATACATCTCTTGTCAATTGTCACATCTTCATTTTAAGAAAATAAAGAAGGAAATAAACAAAACCAAGAAATCATTAACTTCAAGCATACACTAAAATCTTAATCATGAATAAACAAAACAAATATACCATTGTCAATATGCCATCAAACCAACTTTTTATTCTATTTTTAATTTTTTATTTTTATGAGTATTTATTAGCTAAAAATTACTATGAAGGAATTATTCTGCTGAAGGGGAAAATTATAACACTACAATAAAGCCCATAGAACAACTTTTTTATTTATTTATTTTTTTTAATTTCTTTTTTACCGAATAATTAACTAAGAATTACAATAAAAGATATATTTTGTTCGAAGGGAGCACTTAAAACACCAGAATCAAGAACTCGATCCTTAACAAACATTTAAAAGCCAACACATCTACTCTCGTACTAGTATTTACACTAATCCAACAACTTTTACAATTCAAACAAGAAATTATACAAAATCAACCAAAAACTACATATTGTGCATACAGGGGCGAAGCTAGGAATCATAAATTACCGGGGCCAAAACTAAAAATCATAAGCTAACTAGTATTCAACAGTACATAATCCAGTGCATATACATACATACATACATAAACATAAAGTTAAAAAATCACATAATAGTACAAGCATCAGGATTTTCATCACTAAACATGGTAGTATATTGTTCTTCCAAAGGAGTCATAGAATCATCAGTTTTCCTAACAAAATTAGCAGGGGCTTTTTTGTCATAAGCACCAGCAATATAAGGGTGTGGAACCATATGGTAAGGTACATAAGGCCATAACTCAATCTTCTTCTTTGTTGACTTGGCTGCTTCCAACACTTTTTTTGCTTCCACAAATCCTGTCACTGTCACCTTTTGTTGTTTCATATCCACATCCACTGATTTTACTCCTGAAATTTTTTTAACTTTCTTATTAATAATAGTTAATCTCCAATTACTAAATTAAGTTAGTTTAATAATAAGTTAATTCAAAAAAAAAAAAAGTTAATTCATAGTAAACCAATTAATATTACCATACAAATGATGGAACAAACTTTTGATTATGATTATATATGATATATAAATATATAATCATGTATGCATACTCATTTAAATTGAAAAGGTTTCTATAATCATACTCTTATAGGAGTCACTATGCAACATAAAAGAATACTGATTAACATTAAGAAACCCTTATCACGAAGATATTGTAAATGAAGCATGGGTTCGTGGTTTTGAAAAATATATAAATTATTAAAATTTGCAAAATATTTTTTGGGAAATTTAACATAGCAATTTCATATAGAAACAAGCACATACTTTTTTTTCCTTCTCTTTTTCTTCATTTATAGGATTTGAAATTATATATATATATATATATATATATATATATATATATATATAGTTTTTAGCTACATGTTGTATTAATATTAGTTTGATATAAATTAATGAACGAAGAAAACAATTCAAGAAATGAGAAATGACACTAAAATATGTAAATAAAAAAATTACACAAGAAAAATAAAAAGGTTTACGTACATGCATAATCTTGTTGATAAATGGTGGACTAAATTTACCAAAAAAAGAAAAAAAAAATTACCTTTGAGACCAGAAAGAGCTTTCTTCATTTTCATAGCACAACCTTCACAATCAATTCTTGTAACCTTGAGATTAACCGTGTTTAATTGCTTCCTTTTCTTTCCCTTCTTTGCACTGCTTATCAAGTCTGACAAATAGTCCAAAGTTCCTTGAACACCCATTTTTGTTGGTTAATTAATCTTCTCTTAATCACTCTATAAACTCTTTATTTCACTATTTATAGTAAACACTAATATATATGCCTTACTATAAATAGTTCTTACAAAGTAATCAACTTTTGATCACTATTATAAGGTTTAACAATAAAATTAGTGGGAAGAATTATTGAGGAAAAAGAGAGAAAAGAGAGAGTGAAAAGACAAGAACTAGTTAGAAGTGGTAGATTTGGTAGTGGCAATAACTTAATTTCTTGCATTTATATAGCATACCCAAAGGTATTGATTTTTAGTGGTCCTACTTTGAAGAAGACTTTACTATTATTTTATTTGAAAATTGTTTATACTATATGATACAAAGATTTTAAAAAAAAAGTTTAGAATTATGTATCCTGATTAACTTAATTAGTTAAAGTTTTGAGTGTACTTGATACTCAAAATCAAAAATCAAGAAATGTTCATAATTTGTCTTCATAGCTTTCTATGGGAAAGTAAAAATACAATAATATATTATTAGTTATCCAACTTTTAACCACAACCATTCAATATATATATATCCTTCATCATAAAAAAAAAAAAAAAAAAAAAAAAAAAAAAAAAAAAAAAATTGTATCAAATAACCTAATAACTTTTCAAATAGTATTTATTTATAAAATACATAAATTAATTCCATGCATTGGTACGAGTACAAAATAGTAAAATAGAATGTATGGAGTAGAAATTAGTTAATAAATGACAAGCTAAATGTTAAAATGAGCGAAATTGTAGTAAAGACAAGACAACATAGCACATAGGGTAGTTGTCTTTATTAGTTTAATTTCTGAGCTAGAAACTTCTTTTCCGACTGTTTAGCAATAATGTATGCCCATAAAAAATTGTGGTCGGGCGCAGGTAGCTTTTTAATCAACCTTACATGAGGAATATTTGCAATGAAGACAATCATCATAGAATTTTTTTTAGGTTTTTAGGTGGATAGAGTTCCAATAAGACGGTAAGTACTTAGCTTCTTTCCTTCTGTCGATTTAATGGTCACATTTCTAATATGTAAATGTTAGATGATCATGTGTTAGTGGTACGCAATATAATTCAAATATATTTTATAATAATATAATATAGAGTAATAGAATCATTATTGAGGGTACTTAATTAAGTTAATTAAGTATGTAGTACTTGATTTAGTGAATTAATAGTAATGCTTTTATCTTCAAACACTAAGATTATGTAATCAATCTTCACAATGGACACTTTGAGAGTAAGGAATTCCGGTGCTTTATCCTATCCCCGTCTAATTTTAAAGGGTCTTGCCTATTAACAGATTGGTACGAAGTAGTTTTCAATAATTTATAAAAGTTAAGATTTCATTTTATTTATTTATTTATTATTATTAGTATTTTTTTTTGTAGCATATAGACATTAATCTTTAAATATTGATTTGACTCAAAATTTATAGGAAAACAAAAATAATCTTTAGGAAATAAAACATGTACACCTCTTTACCTTTTGTCCCACATTGCTTGTGAATAATTGTAATGTTTTCTTTTCAAATGTCCCAAATAATTGTCAAATTTTCAATAACAAATAAATGATAATTAATAGTTTTGATTTTCTACACATGACACTAATATATGACGAATTTATTTATGCTTAATGATAATTAACTATGCACTAATTGTGTGCTAAGTTGGAGGTAGTGAAATAATGAGGGGCAAAAATGTCAAATGTGTGGCTAGTGCCATTAAATTCTTTGTGGTATTTGTATTGTACTCTAATATGTTATACATCAAATGATATAAATACAAGCAAATATGAATATTATTTGGACGAAATTCTAATTAATTACGTTAAGAGTTATACATATCATTAAAATTTGTCATAAAGACAACTCTCTAAGCTAAAGGCACCTCAACAAAGTTTAAGACAAGTACAAATTTTTGTATGTGGCATGGTAGGGGTTACTTGTAGGGTGTTATTTACTGGTTAATTTGGTCAAGGGTTACTTGCTGGGTGTTACTGGTTTTGGTCAGGGGTTACTAGTAGGGTGTTACTGGTTTTGATATGGGGGTTTGGTTTGGGGTTACTTGTAGGTGTTAACCACAAAATACAAGTAACACCTACAAGTAATTAGGGATGTCAATGGGGCGGGTCAGGGCGGATGTTGGTCTTCCCATCCCCATCCCCACCTAATATTTTCATCCCCATTCCCAATCCCAATCCCCATCCCCGCGGCGGGTACAACTCCAAAACCATCCCCGCCCCAGCGGGTACAACTCCAAAACCATCCCCGCCCCATTCCCATTTGGATATCCATCCCCACCAAAGATCTGCCTAATCCCCACCCAAGATCCACCTAATCTCCATTCCTAAAATACATAATCCTACATAATTAATACGGATTATAATAGAAATAAAACATTCTTAATATTACACACATTTTTGTTTATAATATAAGTGTCGTACAAATATTATAATTAATATTATATTTCACGTAATTATTTTATAAAATAGTATAAAAGTATGTAATTTTGCTTTTGAAGATATATAGATATGGGTATGAGGTGGGGATGAGGCGGGTACGAAGTAGGGCGTGGCAGGGATGAGGCGGGTACAATTTAAAATCCACCCCCGCCCATCACCCATGGCAAGTATGGTTTTTATCTCCATCCCCGCCTGTAGATACCCATTTGTGTCTCTCCAAAACCAAACCCAGTGATGAGTACCTTTCGCGTCAAATCATAATTGAATGAAGTGAAAGTGTGGAAAGTCTAGTGTTGCGGTTAATTTTTATTTTTTTTCTTTCTCTCTGTTTTTGAAAACCTATTTTAAGAAAACAGTCAATCCAGTTTGGTTTGGTCCATGGAAAGGGTCCAATAATGGTGTAGTTGGGTCGATCTTGAAAAGAGCTTTTCAACGATATATTATAAGCCCAATTCCGATGAATAATGAGGAAGTTATGGCCAAATTACTAAACTGGGTCCGGTTTGATATTTATGTGCGGCCCAATGATTTAGGGGAGGGCCTAATATTGATTTGTCACTCCTAATGCAATTAGAATTGATTATAGTCTTCTAGATTCTTCTAGAAAGTTCTTTTCATTCCTAATTTAATTAGCATTGATAAATTGACTTTAGTTAACTTTTTAGAGTTTTAATTAGAATAAAAGAAGTGTTTTTAAGGAAAATATGATTTTGCCCTCCTGTACGGCTAAAATTTATCAAATTAAGAAAACGCGTGGAAACTGTTTTCTAGCGTCTGACGACAGGACAAGCGCCTGGCGCTAGCCCTGGCGTCTGGCGCTAATGTCTGGCGTTTGGCGTCAATTTGTTTTATTCTCTTCAAAACTCTGAATCGTTTTTTTTTATCACATCCGGCTGATTTTTCACTATAAATAGCCTCTTAAAATTCTGTTTTCAATCATCACTTCTCTCTATCAATTCTTATCAACTCTCTAATTCTCTCTCACCAACTCTCATCAAGAATTTCTTTTTTCTCTTTCTCTTTCTAAACCAACCATTTTACAAACACAATTCCTCATACATTAGCACTAGACACACCTAGCATAGATCGAAGTTACCTTCGCCCTAGACGTGAAAGGTTTTAATTTCTGAGGGTTTGGTCCCAAATCTCTATTTCAATTATTTGATTGTTTTATTTTATTATTTTCCTTGAAGTTACTAACGCGTGTATTTTGTTATTAGAAAGAGATATGAGACATCCAAGTAAGTGTTTTAATTGATTTTATTGATATTATGATATAAAAATCATGTCTAGGTTGTTATTACGATTTCTAGTATCATGTTAGGGCGTTTTGATCTTCCTAGTATCATAATTTAAGGTAATAACTAAAATTTCTAATATCAAATATGACAATTGTGATTCCTGCGATGCTTCCTTTTCTTTTCCTAATATTCATGTTAGTGTCATGTTAGAGCTAAAGCTTTGATTTTTATATGTTTAGTGACATGCTAGGGTTTATTATTAATCTTGTTAGTATCATGCCTAGGATCTTGCTATTATTATGCTTTAACATAATTATGATAATTATTGTTATTATGATTATTATGTTGCTTGATTATATATTGTTATTGCTTGATCACGCCTTTTATGCATGTTTAAAGGGAATTGGTACTTGTAATCACGCTTATATAAGATAATTAATAATCTTGTTTAGGTTTAATTTGATTATAATTCAAGTGATCACCAATAATAGATTTTGTTATGCATTAATGTTCAACCAACATAGATTAAACAGGTTTAGGTTAATCCTATGTTATTTAGAAAATGTACATGAATACGATCAGAATAAAGTAGAGGCCTATTATTAGGGCAGGTTCAATCTCTTTTAGGTTGGATTTGTACATTCATCCCCGAACTACCAGTCATGGTTTCAGACCTATTGGAGTTAACAATCTCCTGGATCGTTAAGGGGTGTAACCTTCACCTCGTGAACGGTTTACAAGTTCCTACACTACAAGAAAACAGCTTAATAGCGACGGACTGCTTCCGACGGACCCATTATTCCGTCGGAAAAAACGAAATTTCCGACGGATTTTTTTTCCGTCGGATATTTCCGACGAATTCAATAATTCCGTCGGAACTTTCCGACAGAAAATAAATCCGTCGGAATATATGGACTTTTCCGACGGAAATTCCGTCGGAAAGTACAATTTCCGACGGACTACAAATCCGTCCGAACTTTCCGACGGAATTTTCCGTCGGAATCTAATTAAAAAAAAGGAAAAAGTTATTAAAAACCCTAATACCCTACACCTTTCTTCCGCCTCCACTTTTCTTTTTCCCCCTTCTCCTTTTCTCTCCTCTTCTCTTTCCTCTATGTTCGTCTTCTTCTTCCCCCTTCTCTCTCCTGGTTCGTCTTCTCCTTCTCCCCTTCTCTCTCCTCTTCGTCTTCTCCCACGGACAACACCAACAAAAACATCTTCTCCTCTCTCCTCCTCCATCTCTTTCTATCCACCATCTTCTCCTTCTTTCATCTCTTTCCTCATTTCTCTTCTCATACTTGTGTTTTCCATGGCCGAAATTAATGGTTTTTTGGTCAAATTCGACCATGAAAAGTGTAGATCTACACTTTTTATGGTCGAATTTGACCTATTTAAACCAAATTCAAGACTTCAAAGCCAATTTCAGTTAATAAGGTATGTTTTTCGAGTATTTAATTTTTTTTTGGTTTTTTTTTTTGTAAATATTTTTGATTTTTGGCTGTTCGATGTGGTTGTGGTGGCTTGTGTGGTGGTTTGGTGCCATGGTGGTTTGGTTTTTGGTCGGATCTAGGTCGTTTAGGAGGGTGGGTCGGTTTTAGGGTGAGGTGGGTTGGGAGTTTTTCGGGTTTCTGGGTGTTTGGTTGGGATTTTAATTTTTTCTTTTTTTTTTATTTTTATTTTTGGGTTGTGGTAGTTTGTTTTGGTGGGGGTGGTGGCGGTGGTTGTTTGAGGTGGGTGGTGGGGTGGTTCGCTTAGGTGGGGTGGTAGATCTGGGCTCGTAGTGTGGGTTAGGGTTAGGAGGGTATGGGTTTTGGTGGTGTGGGTGGTGGTACGGGGCGGGTTAGGGGGGCTAGTGATACGGGTTAGGGGGCTGGTGGTGTGGGGTGGTGCCGTGGTGGTGGGGGGTTAGTTAGGGGCTGGTGGTAGTGGTGGTTGTCTGATGTAGGGGTAAGGGTTTATTTGGTGGTTGGTGGTGGATGATACGCCGTGCCGTGGTGGCGCGACGTTTTTTTTTAATTCCTTAAATACAGGTTCCGACGGAATTTCCGTCGGAAAATTTCCGACCGAATTGTATCCGTCGGAAATTTCCGACGGATTTTCCTGGTGCTGTAAAACCTCTTTCGACGGAAAATTCCGTCGGAAATTCCGTCGGAAAAGTGTTTCCGACAGAATTTTCGTCGGAAAAAGACAAATTTCCTACGAAAGGTTTTCCGACAACCGGTTACGACGGAATTCCGTCGGAAACTGGTTTTCCGACGGATTTCGGGGTGGTTACGACGGAATTTTTCCGTCGGAAATGACCCTTTTTCTAGTAGTGCTAAAACTTGTTGGCGACTCTTTTGCTCTATATTCTTTCTCTTTGGACGCCACCGTACTTTAGTGTATGATCACAGTGGGGTTCAAGCTAGGGGTAATGCTTGAAATATTTCCTACACCGCCCCACCACCCGTCAAACCGAGACCCATCCTCGCCCCACTGGGGCGGATCTCCTACTTGACCCGTCCCACTGACATTCCTACAAGTAACCCCTCACAAAACCAGTAACATCCTACAAGTAACCCCTGCCGCACCATGTGGCCTGCCGCACTGAAAAACCTCTGTAATACGAGTATATATGTGGATAACCTTGCTTGCTACGGAGTACGTTTTAATGGAAACTAGTTATTGTCCCGGGCGATGCCCCGGGTCATTATAAATATATTACTTTAATCGAAGTTTGTTAGTAAGTGGCGTTATTTATTTATTTATTTATTTATTTATTTATGTTTCTTTTAAAATGATAGCTTAAGTAGTTAATTGTTTGTATGAGCTAGTTTGACTATAAAAATAATTTATTTTTTTTGCATTAAAAAAAGCCCCTTTATAAATTTGAAGTCATAAATTTGATGTCAAAATATATATACTACTCCATAATGCATAAACTCCTTTAATTTTACTCTATAATTACATGAATTAATGCACAAAGTAAAAATGGAGTAATATTTAATATCTTACAAGCTTTATTATTGTGTAATTATTAAGGATCAGAGTTATATTCCAAGGGAAATTTAGATAGGGTGTTTTGCATATGAAAAGGTGATCAATTTAATTAAACATTAATACACAGAGGTTAATGTATGAAGTTTTTAATTATTAATGGTCTGATATGATTTTAGCGACACATCATATGCCAAATGGCAAAATTGGTGACACATGGCAAAATAGCATGTCTTGCCACGAGTTTTAATAATATATTAATTAATTAATTTATTAACATTGATTGTATATGGTGGCCTTATGATATAGCAAATTTTATGGGGTGGACAATATGTTTCTTACTTTCTCAAGTGATCCTATGTTTTTTTTTTTTTTTGAAAATCTACCGTTTATTATGCTTAATTGACTTAGGTTTAAATTAATATCCCCATTATTATTGTTAATTCTTAAAAAAAAAAAAAAAAAAAAAAAAAAAAAAAAAAAAAAAAACTTAACCCTAGTTATTTATTACAATGATACAAAAACGATGATGATGATGATGATGGGTAATATATAAGCATTAAATTTACACTTGAAATTGTAAAAAGTTAAGAAATCATGAAAATATAAACACTAATTACACTGATTTACGCGTGTTTTTGTCATGAATTCTTAATTTTATACAATTTCCAAGAATATATTTAATGCTTATATATAGCTATTAGGGCTATATAAATAATAATAATAATCATAATTTATTGTAGGTTGTATGACTTTTGTTTTTGAGATATAATAATAATAATAATAATAATAATAATAATAATAATAATAATAATAATAAAAGAAAAAAGCTAATGAACGCTTCAAGAGTGTTAGATAAGATTACTAAAAGTGGAAATAATAAATAAAATTAACGTTAATTACATATTTTGAAAAACTATGGTTAATAATTATGCAAAATTGACTAAGGTTTAAATGAATCACCCCCATTCACCGCAAAAAAATCCACCAAATTGTGACTGCCAATTTCTTAAACTATTAGCTTTTTCTAGTTATTTAGTACTCCCTCCGTTTCTAAATTGCATTTCTACTTCTCTCTATTATTTGAGGAATAAATGCTAGAAGTAGGAATGTAATTTAGGGGCGGAGGGAGTAAAGTACAAGTATAATATAATCAATAATAGCAACAACAACGATAAAAATAAACGGAAAAAGCTAATGAACGCTCGGGGGTGTTGGTTAAGATAAATAAGAGTATTAAATCAAACAAACTGAATATTAGTTATTATACTGATCGATGCGTGATTTTGGTATGCATTCTCAAATCAACACAGTACCAAATTAGAAAATATATTAAATGGTCATCTAATGTCCTAGGGACGTCGTTAGCAAGATCCATAATAAAGTATTTGTTTAATTTTATTTTAAAAAAAATAATTGACTTTTATGTTTCATGTGAAAGGTATTTAGAGTGTTTACCTTAGCTTTCTATTAAAATAAATAAATACTCCGTAATTTTTTTTAAAAAAAGCTAGCATATGTCTATGCATGGGGTACATGATAACATGGGTATCAGTATATGTGCATCACACTAACATTATAGATAATCACATATAAATGCTATTATTGAGATTACATTCATAAAAGATCGGGCAATGAGAAGTGACTAGACTGTATAGATATATGAAGACAAATTTAAGAAGAAATCGAGTGATAGTTCACCATCTCATCATCAGTTTTAGAGGGGGCCAAATTATTATTAATCCATAGAAAATCTGATATACAATTATTAATGAGGGGAGATGTATCATTTATAGGATTATCATATCTTTCTAGTCACACCCAAGGGCGAAGGGAAGGGGGGGGGGGGGTTGGTGGAGGCCCGGCCTCCCCGGCCCATATTTGTTGCCCATATATTATAGTTTATGGCCCCCCTTAAAATTATTAGTATATATAATATTCAAAACATAATTATAACAATAAATATACCAAATCAGTTCACTTTTTTTTGAAGGGGGGTGAATAATTGTTTATTTGCTTAATATGTTTATTTACTTAATAATTTTGGGTAATTTTTAATTTATTGAATGACATTTAGGACCAAATTTTAGGGTCATATTCTACTTAATTTGAGAATTGTAGTTTTTGTATTTGATATAGATTAAATCATGAAATAAAAAACACTAGATTTTTTATTTTTTTTTCAAAAAAAGTTAATAATCAACAAGAGGAGGGTTCCACTTCAAGGGCAAATTTTTTTTGCAAAAAGTTAATATTCAACAAGAAGAGGGTCTTTTCTGCAATGAATATCGTCAAAATTCAACTAAGGAATAAAAAGGAAGATGATTTTCTTAGAGATGTTTTGGTTGTATACATAGAAAAAGAGATTGTCGTAGATTTTAGTGTTTAATCTTTGATTGATGATTTTGCTACTATGAAAAATCATCGAGTACGATTTAACTAATGTTTTTTGGTGACAATAAAATATTAGTACACTTTAATTTTTTCCATCAATCTTTTGTCTAATAAGTCCGGCCCCCGGGACTTGAAAATCTCGACTTCGCCCCTGGTCACACCTTTTCAAGAATGTATGATATGTTGTTGATGACCTTAGTAAGTATAATCAAAAGAAAAATCATATTTTGCTATATTACCCCCTTCAACTTTTTATAGCCTAAAAATGCTAGATAACATATCCATTTATAGGTCTTAATTATTTTCAAGGATTAGTATATTTCCATGTAATTTTATAATTTTTTCTATTTATTTTTGGTTTAGTCGTGAGATAATGTAGTCTAAGGGTCATTTCACTAAAAAAACGAAAAAAATAAAATAAAATAAATAAAAAACTAAGTAGGGGTCCAATTAAGCGGATACATACTCTGAATAATTGGTTGAAGCTCGTTTGTGTTTGTTTTTTTGGTTAATAAATAAGACCAATATGAACAATTTTCAAAACTTGTGTTACTACCTCCGTTACAGATTATGTGCAACGAACGATTATACGTTTTCCCTCTCTACTTTATGTCAAATCGTTGCACATAACCTATAATGGAGGTAGTATAATAATTAATTATAATAAATGGTTGAACGTAAATTTACGTGAGCTATTGAATGAACAAAGATATTAGTAGCTCATGTAAGTTTATGAACAACATTAATTTTATGTTCATGTTCATGAACAAGGTTAATTATTAGAAAAACTCAAAAGTTTTTTTTAAAAAAAAAAGAAGAAAAAGAAAAACTCAAAACTCGTTTAATAAACTATATTGACTTAAAAAATCTTCGTCCAACTCTCTCGAACAACAAAAGATTGAAATACTCTGTTCTCTCTCCTCTAAAAAGAAAACCCTCCTGAAACCTAGAACTCCCCGGAGTTCCGGCGCCGCGGCCGGTTCTCCGGCGGGTTCCTCTTCTATGTATTAAGCTTTTCTTTGCTCGTGTTCCAGCGTTGAAGGTGAAGTGGGACCAGGCTCCCAGCGGGCTTCAAACTCCGCTTAGTATTTAACCTCTTATCGCTGGAAGTTCTCAAGGTGGTTTCCTCAGTTTTCAGTTTTAAAGTTCTAGTAGCTTTGTGATTTGGGTACTCGAGGGTAAGAAGGTCGTTTTTCAATTGGGTTTAAAGTTTCGTTTGACGAAACAAGATTCGAAGGCTAGCTCTAACGCCGCCGACTTCGTGTGATCGAAAAGATCGAGTTGGTAAAGGTAAAGTTAGAGTAGGCTAGCTCTAACGCCGCCGACTTCGTGTGATCGAAAAGATCGAGTTGGTAAAGGTAAAGTTAGAGTTAGGGTTTGTTCGTTTTCTTGCGTTGGGATTTATTCTCGTTCCTTTAATTTCCTCTGCCCATTTTCTGTTTATGTCACCATTTCGGGTTTGTCTCTTGGTTGTCTTGCCGCCGGTGATGTTAGTCCAGTTTGACCTTCACGGTAAAGGCGGCGGTAATCGGAGGCTGGTGACTGTTGGTTGGTTTCTTGCTTATTTAATGGCTTTTTTTGGTTTAATTTTAGTTTTCCTTGCTTCTATGGGTCTTTGCTATGAGTTTGATGCTATGAGATGCGGTTCTCTTTGTTCTAATTGGGGTTTGTCAAGTTTAATTGTGGGTTTAAAGGGGTGTGTCCTGCTCCTGTTTAGAATTTTGGTTATGCGAGGTTTGGTTTCGTGGGGAATTTGCCATTGTTATGGTATGGTTTGGTTCATATGGTTGGTTAGGGTTTGTTGTTTCCTCTGGATTTTCTCAGTCGAAAGAGTTTCAAAAGGTTGTCCCTTGATGTCCTTTGTTTCAGCTTAGTAGTGGATTTTCAATCTATTACTTTGAAAAATGTCTATCTTAACACTGCTCCCCAAAATGAAATGTTTGGGGGCCTCCGAAAGGTTATTTTGGAGGTTTATAATATGTCAATGGTCTCTTTCCTTGAGAAAAGATCAATGGTACCCACACTTAAGGGTATCGAATCACTTGTAAGGGTGATTCAATGTGTGTTGTTACGCCCTAATCGCTATGTTTTCCTACCCCATTTACTTATTGATATAGGCACTCGGTGTCCTTTTCAACTCGTAAATATGTATGCCAGAATTTGTTTGTTCGGCGTCCTCCAATGCATTCTCCAAGTTCAAGAGAATGTGGAATACATAATCAGAAAGGTGTGTTCCTCATTGCATGCTCAAAGGATAATGGCAGATTTTTCAAACCAACAAGATCAATTGTGGAAGTACTTTAATTTAATGTATTCTCGTTGTAATAGAGGAGCTAATAGTGCTCTTAGTTTGTAATACCTTTATTTTATTTAAACCGTTGTCAAAAAAAAAAAAAATGACTTATTGAAAATTGTTAATTTAACATTATTGGTTCATCGATCCAATACATTGTCGCATCCTTATAATTAGTATTACATACAGTATTATGCTTAGTTTAAGATTTTCTAATAAAGAGTATGTTAAATGCAAAGGGTATTTATTAAAAGAAAATTGATAAACATAACCCTTAGGGCTATGTATAAAAAGCTCAAAAAGGATCCTCCATAGGAAAGATTAACATTAATAACGCTGATCTGCGCGTGATTTTGTCATGAATTATCAACTTAATTCCATTTTGGGAAGTATATGTAATGCTTATAAATAGCCATAAGGGCTATATATATCATTACTCTTATTAAAAATGCTCGTTATGGGAAAAAAATCTCATCTATAAAATCAGTTTGATCAACAAATATTAGTTTAATACTTCCCTCCGTCCCTAAATTATATTCGTACTTCTCTCTATTGTGTGAGGAATAAATGCTAGAAGTAGGAATGTAATTTAGGGACGGAGGGAGTATAGTAACCTCATCTATAAAATTAAATCTTAGTGATTAAAGTCAATTGGTGGTTTGTACACCCGGGTGTACCATACTACTACATGCGCATGGTACACCCAAATTAAAGCGGAAAGAAAATACTTATAAAGTATATCATGAATTTATAGAAGAACATATCACTGAAATACAATGAACACGATATATTATGAGATACTTATTATCAAAAAGGTAAAACATAATTATGAATTGAGTTTTACCAATAATTTAATGTCAAATCGTTTCAAAATATTACATTTGAATCAGAAAATATTCAGATTTCAAAAATTTCTCTATCTAAAATAAATTTTACACAAATATAATTCAAAATTTTTTCTTAAATTTCAAAAACTCGAAATTCAAAATATAAGATCATATTATATGAGTAAAAAGAACAAAATTTGTATTATTATACCCAAAGAACATAATTTGTATTATTATAACCAAAGAACATGATTAATATATATTACCTTAAAGAACATTGTTTGTATTGTAAAGAATTTATAATTTAGACTCAAAGAATATATTGATCAACTTAAAAAAAAACATATTTCATTGCAATTAAAAAACCGATAAAAGAATATTCATCAAAATAGGAAGAACATCATTTTCAACCTTAGAAAATAACACCAAAACATAAAAATTGATAACAAAAAATATTTAAAAATGTCTTTTCTCTCAATAACAAATTTGTCAATTACATCGATCTTTCAATTAAATGATTAATCAAAACGATAAAATCAACTCCGAAATAACATTAAATCACTTTGAAATTCAAAAGTTACCATAATTTCTCTCTCTATAAACCCAATTTCTTTCCCTTAACAAAAAAAATGAAAATTTGTTTATCAAAAGTAATATGGAATGTTCTGCCAAAAAAAAAAAAAAAAAGAAAAAAAAAAGTAAAAGTAATATGGAATGTTAATAATGAATCAAGGAATAAAAATAACAAATCAATCTTTTAAATCAAGAGGAGAATTGTTTTGATTTTTTTTTTCCGGTGTACTTTGTATTTGTATACAATAATGTTCTTTCCGCGTTTTTATAACAAATGTATTTTGACCGGGTGTACAATGCTCATGGTACACCTGGGTGTATGATGAAATTTTCAATTAAAGTAATTATAATACCCTTATAAAACTTATCCCATTGTCTTTCAACAATAAAATCATACTGAATTTAAAATTATTCAAATGATCAAATAGTTACCCTAATATTGTTCAATGTACACTTATATTATTGTAACCGGGTGTATGCAAAAGTTTATTATTTTTTTAGGTATATAAATGGTTTAAAATGACTGATCTTGTCTATAGTTCATATATTAATAACTCTATTAATAAGTGTATACAAGATAGGTATACAGAATCCCTTCAAAAAAAAAAAAACAATAAAAAAAAGACAGGTATACAAACATTGCCCATAAAGGAGTAGGATATCTTTTTTGGTGCTTAGAGAGCCACAAGAGTAGAAAATGATAATCAATCCCAAAATCTCTGCAACCGGGAAGGAAGCTCTAACCACTTGCCTCACTCTTAAGAGTACGATATTTTGGGATTGAGGTTTTTATTTTATTTTATTTTAAATTTTACAAAGTGATCTTTCTATTTCAACTAATACCTAATTTGTGTCAAAAAAAAAAAAAAATCGAATAATCCATACATTTTTGGATCACAACTTAGCATTAGCAATACAATAACCTAGTTGTCTGCTTTTTTCCTACCATAGAATTGATTTAAAGAAAAGAAAAATACTGTGAATAGATTTTGTGTATTCCTAGAATAATGCCGCAATGTCAAAGTTGGTGTGAGACCTCACCTAATCATGTGTAATTTAGTTAAGAAAGCACATTATAATCTTGTTTTACGTCCTAATTGATTATATTTTATGTACTTGCTTGTTGCATGTTACTGTTAACACCTTCTTTGTTGGGTTTTGGGATACACCCTAGCTTTTTAATATTTGGAGGCCACCATATTATAACGTCTTACTATTATAGTACTATAATACAAATCAATGGCTTGAATATATAAAATTCGTCTTGCAAAAATGTATACTCCTTAATATGACCAGAGGTTGTAATTTTGTTGTCATTATTTCATAAAAGTCGTTAAATCTTGGTGTAATATTTGTTTGAATATGCCTGGAATGAATCTCAATACATTTAAATAAATTATCTACCGTAATCATAGATTTTAGTTGTCTCATTATTAGTGAACCAGGTAAATCTGTATGTTATTCTTGTTTTTTGTTACTCTTTCTTACTCCATACTATGTTATAATAACAATACATATCCTAATAATTGTAAAGAAAAATAAAGTTGATGTAAATCATTTTAAATTCAATTTAATCTAAAAAAATAGTAATGCAAAAGTATTTTAAATTTGTAATGTAAATATAAAATGTTAGACATGCATGGACCGACCCTTTTTTTCTAACATTTGTCCAAAAAAAAAAAAAAAAACTTTTCAATTGGCCCTTCTTTCATTCTATTTCAAGAGAAAACAAAAGGAGTAATTTGTGCATATGAATCAAGCTTGGATTTATTTGTACATAATCTATCAATAATCTTAGAATAACCTAATATATTAGAAACCAATTTATTTTGTCTTTTACACTAAAGGGTTGAAATAAAATCGAAAACGAATGAAAGTTGCAAACCAACTTAACTTAAAAAAGGAATATAATTTTTTATTTATCAAATTTTTTTTTACAAATTGTTGCTTTATTCACCAACTCTATAATATCCTTAGGTGCAAGAAAACTAAAGTGGATGGAGCATGCGGTAAAAGATTAAAAGTTCCTATATATAATTGCATGAAATGAAAACGACTTGTTGAAAAAATTCAAATATTGGATCAATAATTATCTTTTCAATTTTATTTTATTTTTGAGTTTTTGTAAAAATTTCTTTTAAGGATGCATGATAGAAGGGGTTAATTGATTGAGCTCATTGAAATGCAAGTAGTCAAGTCACAATCTAAGATGATGACACGTGGGGATAGGGGGACATCAACGGTAAAATATTGTCCCACATACATAAAAATAAATCAAAGAGGTTGTAACATTATTGAAATTAATTAATTAGTTTTGTTACACTAGGTTCAAAAAATATTTGTATCCAAGTATTTGGAGTGATTGTGACATTGCTTAATTAGTAGGGAAGAAGCTTGCTGTGGGCGGTGGAATGATTTAAAACTATAGGTTTAATTTAAAAATAATGGATAGAAATCTAGAGGAAGATGAAAATGATACATAACCCACAATTCTTAATTGTTAGCTAGATTGAATGTAATGAGACATACAAGTGGCAAAATAATTTGGTATTGAAGTGTATTTTCAATTGCAACAAATCCGGGGAGATAAATTTGGTAGGTCCATCTTTTTATGTACATGATAGTGAAGTTCTTGCATGTAGGAGGAATTTGCTTCAATCATGTAAAAGAATTTACTATTCATGTCCATTTTCAAATAGTTTATGTTTTGTTGACTTGTTATCGCATTTATTATTTGCCAATTGTTTGTACTATTCTTGAGCAACTTTAACGTTTGCCATGCTATATAAGCTTTTAAACTAATTATCATTATATTTTGGTAAGTTTAATTTTCAAGCAAATTAGTTAGGCAAAGCTCCAGCTAATTGAGTTTTATATCTCCAATGGTCAAGCTAGTAGCTATAAAATTATTGAAATTGCAAGAAAATCCCTATTTACAACCATTGATATTGGCGAAGTTAAACTCAAATAACAAGATCAATTAATTATTTCACTAAGTTTGTAAAAATCTTATTACAAACAATTACAAGCTAAATCCCTGTCATCAAATGTTAAAGAGGGGAAGGGGCTTAAAGCTAGAAGGAATGAATTGCATACATATATGAAGGTGATGAAGTAATAGGTATGTTAAAAAAAGGTATATAATCATAAAAAGGGAACACAAACTATTAGGTCAGTCAAGTCTGACCAAATAGTTTGTGCGGCGGAGGAGATGACGATGACAAAGATGACATCAATGGTGGATCTCCATCCCCCCTGTAGGCGACAATGACGATGATGACATCAATGGTGAAGGAGAGAAGCGAGGTCATTCATGGAAGGTATGTTAAAAAAAGGTATATAATCATAAAAAAGGGAACACAAACTATTGGGTCAGTCAAGTCTGACCAAATAGTTTGTGCGGCGGAGGAGATGACGATGACGAAGATGACATCAATGGTGGATCTCCTTCCCCCCTGTAGGCAACAATGACGATGATGACATCAATGGCGAAGGAGAGAAGCGAGGTCATTCATGGCAGAAGAGAGAGAAAGTTTGATTCTGGCATTTTTCAAAAAAATGCCCCAAAAAGTCGAATTGAAACTTTCTTATGTGATGTATAATTGTTGAAATTGCTTGTCCCATATGATTGTATGTTGATTTGTGAGCATTTTGATGAAAAATGCATGTATTTTGGTTGAGAAATGATCAAGTTATATTATACCCATGACCTTTAGTACGAGCTCTTCAATGGAGGTTCCGCCATTATTATACA